TTACATTTCCTTGTCTGAGTGTTTAAACAGGTATTATTCTGAGATATATAAATAATTGCTTTAAATGAGGTCAAAACTTCTTGTCTTACACTAATCAAGACTAGAAAGCAGGAAAGAGAAAAAGAGACACCAATTTATATGGCCTCAGAAGAGGATAGTGCCATTTTTGGCATGGAGGTACAGCAGGAACAGTTAACTGTCAATCTTAGTTCTCAGGTTAGCAGGTAAACTCTGACTGGTCAAGGTGTTGTCATGGGAATGCAGCAGAAACTGGCAGACTCTTTGACTCCCTTATTTCGCAATGAAAATAGTGTAATGCATGTACAAGTTACTTCTGCCTACAAAAAATAAGGTACTGCTTGTTAATAAATGTAGCTTCTAGCATATGCAAATGCATAACATTGTGAGCCTGACTGATAACCTTAAATCGATTTCCATTGTAAATCTTAGCATGGCTCATATTATTTAATAAATGTTGTTCAGAATCACAAGTAAATTTGGACATGGAGTTCTAAGGTTTGCAAGCAAGGGCTGGTTGAGTGTGATTGACATTCTGCCTGCTGTGAATGGTCAACAGGCCATGTTGTTTGATATTGACTGCAAGTCATTTGGACATACAGCTTACATTTTTGGCATCACAATATATCAAATTTCTCATTTGTGTAGTACACAAAATGTATTTTTGGCTTAATGTTTTAGCAGAGATCTGTAGCTCAGGTTGTGGTTGGAGTCGTTGGTTCGCCGAGGAGTGCACAAAAACCAGTCAGCTTGGTATTTTTGGCTTAACACTAACATTCCTTTAGTGGAGAAATTCATTTATGGGTTTACTGCAGAGCAGCAGCACGAGACACAGTCAGCTTCACCTGTCAAATTTGAAAGGCACCTTCCCCTTCCAGTGGTAATCTGAGGTAAAAACTGAAAGAACTGTGGATGCTGTAAATCGATGATAAAATAGAAATTGCTGGAAAAGCTCAGCAGGTCTTGCAGCATCTGTGGAGGGAAATCAGAGTTAATGTTTTGGGTCGACTGACCCTTTCTCATAACTGTTCTGAGGAAGGGTCACTTGACCCAAAATGTTAACTTTGGTTTCTCTCCACAGATGCTGCCAGACCTGCTGAGCTTTTCCAGCAATTTCTATTTTTGTAATCTAAGGTAAACTGGACGCACTTAGGGCTAAATGTGGTGACTATTGGCCCTTTTGTGAGTTTGTGTGAAAATGATTTGATCAGGGTCACTATTATCATGCAGGGTTGTTTTGAAATGCTCTATTTCATTATCAAATGTACATGGTGAACAGATTGCTAGGGCTCTATTCTTGAGGTTGCCAATGAGGCTGATTTTGTGGCCCATCTGGAATTGCAGGAATTCCAAACCAGATGTTGAACATTAGCTTTCAGCAGATAGTAGTAGAGAGTCCATTAGCAGATTGCTTAACTAATACATCAAGGACAGGGAGTTTGTTTGATTATTCCATTTAAATGGTAAATTTAAGCACAGGATGGTGTTGTGTCAAGAAATTCTTTGAGGGAGCTGCTGATTTAAAAATTGCAAATGTGTCATCTATGTATTGAAGATATGCAAGGGGTAGTAAGCTAATAGTCAGTCCAGCAAAGATCTGCTTCTGCTGGTAAACAAACTTCAACAATGATGGCGCATTAAATCTTTGGTGTTCTGCAGAATTTGATTTTTTCAAACCCCGATTTATGAAGTTCTTGACAAAAAAAGGTGTCTGGCAGTAAAAATGCAACATTGAACATTCCAGTGATATCCTGTTAAGCAAAATCTTATTTAGGTCGTGTCTGAGGAAGATAACAGCCTTGAAATGGACAATGTGTTCTAAGCATACTGTAAAAAGATGACTAAATTAATTGCCCTACGTAGTAACCAGATATTGAAACAAAAAATATGTGGTAACTGTAGAAAGCATAATAAAAGATTACGATTTTAGCCTTCAGTTACTATCTCACCTGAAATGATTTGATGAATGTCCATAGCAATGTTCGGATTCCCTCACCTCGACTTAATAGCTTCACCAGGCGCATCACCCGAAATAGACGGAAGAACGTAATGGAAATCCTGGAGTTTTCATCTGAATTCTGGAGTACCTTACAGAAAGTAACAGGTCATAAAACATAATGATAAATGGCAACTGCTGGCAATACTTCAGCCAGAACTCAGACCCAACAGCTTTCTGGTGACCTTTGATTAAAAATAGTCTATGTTAACAATTTAATGTAAAACAGACCCAATAGCTAGTTATTAGAACCAATAATGCATTCACCACCTAAGATGACACTTAGTATCATCCTTAATCTAGTAGTTGGTGCAAAATTATAATCAGACAGTTTAAGTGTTATAACTGTACAGAATGGATGCAAGTAGCATCAGAAGAACTGAATGGTTAATCATCAGAAATTATGTCACACACACAGTTTTTTTATAGCATAGAAAGCCATTTATCCCATCTGCCTGTATTCATTCTATGAAAGAGCAGCCATGATTTATTCACAACCTTCTAAATTTGTTACCAAAATACACCAGCTTGCGATAAAGACCATCTTTTAGTCCAATTTAGCCATCTTATTCTGATAACATTGCAATTTCTTTTCATTTACAGTGGCATCATCTGCAAGCTGAGGTACCACTTTCTCTATATGGAAACTATTATTGTGGTAAATTGAAATAATTTCAGAACAGAACTTTATGTAGCATTTATACAAACTTTTAAGCTCTCAGATATCTTCTTTCCTCTACTATCAACGGTGACTAATTCAATTTTATGCCCTTTAGTTTAATTCCAGATTCCCTAACTATGTTCCAAACCCCATGGTACTCTGTTCAAGGCTTCTGCCAAATAAATTTTCCTTTTCCAAATATCTTTTTCACTTTATGTAAAATAATAGAAGCTTAGGAAAAGCAAAGTCAAGTCTATTTCCGACAAGCGTTTGTGGTGATTCTTTACCTCTTCCCAGCATACAACCAACTAGAATTAAAGCATTCGATTATGGTGCCACTTTCAACTTTAAGTTAAGTTACAAAGTTGAATTTGTCACATAATAACATGTCTAAAAAGGGCCTGATCCACAAAAGGGGATATAACAACCATTTCCAAATGACGTCTTTTATACAGAGGATCCATCACTGATAATAAGTAGAGTTGCTTGGTTCAAGTGATTGAGTGTGATCTGCTCCGGAATTAAGAATGTTCTATTAATTCAGTGAATTTAACACATTTCTTTATTTTGTATCTTTTGCTCCTGTCAAATTCATTATTTATTCTGGAAGTGACATCTTAGAGAATGTTGTGTTGAACGGTACCTTAGAGAATGTTTAGGCTGTACTATTCTCTGAAAGAGATGTAGCTACAGCCTACTGACTTTAAGATAATTCCTTATTTACACTACACTAATTATGTTCATGCTAGTTAAGTGCCAGATAAAGGTCATTGCCCCTTTAGTATACATCTTCCTCCAAGTCATTACCTCTATGCAATGTATACACATCCTCCTACATCTCCCCCAAAGTCTCCATTTCAAGGGGACAACACTTGTGGTGATTTCACCGATCTATGATATTGTACAACTTTTTTGTCATTTTTGAAGATCTGCATTCTCAACTCACTGTATCATCCCCCAGTCATTGTCATTATAAAATATTTACACATCCTCTTAAAAGAGGAGACGCACTCAAGTGGTTGTGGGATGATCCATGGTCTGATATATCCTGCTCGAGAACTTAACTACATGACTGAGAATAGGATGTTATCCATTGGAAATGTAATCCCAATGAGCTATACCAATAGACTAAACTTTCTCATGTAGTGCCCTCTTTGTCTAAGGCTTCCAATCATGGCTTAGTCAAGATATTATTAGAGAGCAAGATAAGGAGGCGTGTTTCAAGAACTAACTCAGCCAGTACAGGGACTGGTGTTATTCTATACCTCAAGCCAACTGAGCTAATCAACCTTCCGAGCATAATGTCAGTGGTTCTAATGTAGAGACTTGGATGTACCTCTGTATAGTTTTGTCTTAATTTGGTCACAGAAAGGAAATAAAACTGACTTCACTTCTGTAAACAAAAACAAAAATTAAAACTGAAGATTTCAATGATGCTTTAACCTGATTTTTTTTTCAGGGTTCAAAATTACTGAGGCAGACTCTTATTGAAAGGAAACCAGAAAGCTTCGAGATCTAAGATCCTTACAATCCATTGTAATCATAACAATTACAGAAAGAAGTATGGCAAATTATACAAAGGAAGAAAATAGCACACACTCCACCATATTCTAACACAGATTATAGGACAATAATGACAGACAAAATGAACAGGCACCAAAAGTACAAAACTCTATTTCAAAATGACAATGCACAGAGTAAACAAAAAGCATGGTTTACTTGAGGAAAAAGACCTGCAGCACGTTTGTCTTACCGTAAGAGTGGAAGTGGATAGGGTATTCTCAGCTGGCTTTAAAGAAATGCAGACAGAAGGGAGTTATAAAAGACTGGCAGTGAGACAGTATTTCCATCACAGCTCTGCACATGTTTGTACTCAATATACTAACAAAGCAATCACAATGAAGGACGATTCACAGCTTCTCCACCAACACTGCACTATGCCGCCCACACTTCCCCAGAAATGTTTCACATAAAACAAATGATCTTTTATTTCTTCAATCTAAGGTAATTGAATGCAGTCTTATTCCTGTTGGTTATTTCAATTTTACAACTTATGTTTACTTGAAGTGACTTCACAATAATGTTGGTGGACTTTGCAAAAACAGTTAGCTCTGAAACTTTGCTCAGATCTTTTGTATCGATTGTAGTTAAAAGTCTGCAAGACAGCATAAGATGTCTAATGCACTTTGAACTATTATCATAAAATCACAGAATCAGAATCATAGAGTTGTTATGGGGCAGATGAAGACCTTTCGACTTATTGTGTTAGCACTGGCTCTCCAAATGAGCATCATGACTTGGTGTCATTCTCCCAACCCTCCCCATTATTTATTTTCAAATAATAACCCACTGCCCTTTTGAATGCCTCAGTTGAACTTGTCTCTCCATCATATTTCTAGGCAGTGAATTCCAGATTAAACTACTTACTATGTGAGAAAGTTTGTCTTCACATCGGATTTACTTCTTTTGCAAATCACTTTAAATCAGTTCCCTCTCATTCTTGATTCTTTCATGAGTTGTAACAGTTTCTCCGTGTTATGGTGTAGTTTATAGATGGTCATTATTGACTATAATTTGTTTTCTCAATGTTATACAACAATATGCTTGTCTCCTCCCATCCCCTGAAGATCTCCTTGTTTGGATACAATTCCTCTTCTTGTGCTGCAGCATTTCATCCCAGTCTAAGATTCCCATACTGGCTATTCAAAATAAAAAACTCCCTCAAATCACATTTGCTACCTTATCCAAATGGCTATTATTCAGGAGTATGTAGGCTAATTGGGCACAAAGACACCATAAAACCTGGGCTCACCGGTCTGAATATATGGTTTTCCATCACAGGTCATTGGATAGCTATCAAGAGTAGTAACCCTAGTTGACCGTTCTATTATGTTTGGGTCTAATTATAAATTATAGAGTCGTGAAATCTCACAAGCATAGAAACAGACCCTTCAGTCCAACTCACCTATGCCGACCAAGTTTCCTAAGCTAAACCAGTCCCATTTACCTGCGTTTGGCCTATATCCCTCTAAAGTGACACAACTTTCAAAGAACTATGAATTAGAATTAATAAAAGACCATGAGCTAGGCCTGTAGAAACTTGAACCAAGATGGTTTATTATGCATCGTTACAGCTAGACAGTCAGACCTAGACTGGTCCCCAAGCGCCACCCTCTAGGTCACCTGACCCTGTCTCTAAAGGGGTATTATGCGCTCCCAATTTCACACATAACACCCGCCCCCCATTATTTCAAAATATCCCATTGATGAACATATATACACAATGGTACTTATAATACAGAAATTGTAGCCAACATATGTACATTGTCAGGGATATTTGCAAGAGCATGGAAAACATGGGAAAACAGCCACTTCCCCACTCTGAAAGCTGTACTTTCCTTAGTCTATATTGACATGATTAGAATCTCAGGAGGATGGCAATTTCTAAAAAAAAACACCATCTCCTCATCTCAGAAGCCTTTTCTGGTGTAGTCTCCTGAGCTTCCAGAAGCTCCTGCTGTTCAGCAGATGCAACCCTCTGATTGGCTGCCATTGTCCTGTAATGCAGCTGCTGTCTTCTCTCTGGGTGTGACCAACTCTGGCTTGGAGACACATGAGTCGGTTACACCTGGACTATCTCTGAATTTTGAGGGACATTCCCCATTGTTGAAGTGCAGTGACCAGCTGGTCCACATGTCTCCTCCAAGCTAGCTCATTTCTGGTCTGCACTGTATAATGATCTTGTTTGAGCCACTATGGCTGGAACCCATTTTTCCCCTGATGTATAATCTCTGGCCGAGACAATCTTTCCTCTTTGTAAAATCCTTGACTTTGTGGTTCCCGCCCATCTGCCTGACTGCCCTTCTTGATTTCGCTCTTCTACCTGCAGGAAGTTGAACATGGTTCTCAGCTGACAGTTGAAGATGCCAGTGAGCACAGGGTCATTGTGTGTGGTGTATTATAGTACATGCTGAGGAACTTATTGATTCACTATCCTAGCGAACCCTCCCCTTGCGAGGTTTTTAAGACTTGCTTCAGCGTTTGTACAAATCCTTCCACCTGATCGTTTGTTACAGGTTAATACAGAGTCAGAGTCAATCTCACTTGTCCAACTCTGTGATTTTCCAGGTCCTCCAGGTATTCCCCAAACTCTTTCACCATAAACTGTGGACCATTGTTGCTCACAGCTTGTTAGAAGTTCCCAAATTTGGCAAATATTTCAGTCAATCTGTCTATCATTGCTTCCGTTGATACTGACTTCATAACCGGCACCGTCGCCTCGGGCCACTTGGAGTGGGCATCCATAACCACTAGTAATATCTGCCCCTCTACTGGTCCCACAAAAATCAACATGAATCTGTTACTGTGGTGACTGGGGCCATTCTCATGCATGAAGGGGAGACAACGGTGGCGCCTTCCTA